CACTGTTGTTTTGTAGAATAGTTTCGTCAAGCTGTGCCAGAAAGTGATCGGAACTCACCATAGTCTATTGAACTTCAACAGAATCAACTAGAATCTATTGAAATGCAGCAAAATTCAACAGAAACTACCGAGCTGTACAATCATCTGAAATCAATATAAAAAAATGTAGATCCTGATAAATTACACCATCTATCAGCATATACCTGAGAACTAATCGAAGTCCATCTGAACCTCAGTCTCTTGCCTCCTTGATTTAGGCACACTTCAATAAATATATTTTAAAATTTATCAGAATCCATCAAAGTTCATCAGAATGTATTAAGAATTATCAAATTCCAAGTATCCGAGATGCCAAGATTCTTTTTTTTTTCGTTGTTGGATCGATGAAGATGAGGAGATTGTTGACACATTCACCAACTTCACATTTCACATCCTTACCATTTTTTCCATGATTGTTATTTTTCTCATTTAGTATTGCAAATAAACTTTTTCTACTCATTATTTGTCTTCGTTTTTAATTAACTTCCTGATCAAAACACTAATGTTTTATGACCACTCTGTACTTGAGAATTTCAGTGATGAGAAACATGTTCACCCTATTGTTATATCTATATTAGTGATAGCTGAAGAGAAAAAGAAGAATCAATCAAGTGTATCGGTCATGAGAAAAAAAGAAGAGTCATTCATAAAGAGATCGGTCAAGTTTGAACATGGTGATGACAATGTTCACAAAGAAAAAGATTAATATAGAGAAAGAGAAACGAGGTTGGACAAGTTGCATTCATCAAAATAATACCTTAAAGAAGTGTATCATACAACATTTTGTTTTCTATACTCTACGTACTATTTTATTCTCATAGAATTGCTGAAAATGTTCTTCATTACTATTAAATTATGTGTCTGTGGTATTTTTTCTAGAAAAGAAGAATCGTTCGCTCGACCTGCAAGATTTATAATTAAAGTTGTAATAATAGGTAAGACAATTAATATTGTTAGTGAAAAATTAGATGATAGGTTTCATGTTACTGTTTCAAACGGTTCTAAAATAGCATAAAATTTTCAAAACGATGCAGCTTACATATCAGTAGCATCTTAGTATCAATCATTTTCAAACGTTCTAATCTATACTGCTGGAAGTTCAGCATTAGCAACGTTTTTTGAAGCAATTTTTTATTTAAACACCCTGTCAAATAGTTTCTATCCAATGAACATTTGAATCATATAGAAAGCAGTGTTCTATTCATACAATCGTATATTTGATTTAAATCTGAATCCAAGAATAAAAGAACGCACCTGATTTCAAACTGAAACGGAAGACTAATTGAAAACAACAATTATTCCACACTATAATTTATTATCCTATATGCCATGATGTTCCCTTTCTATTTGTGTTAGGACAAGGAAATTTAAGAATTATTGATTATTAACATTCAATATCCTATTCGGTATGTATGTGCATGTTAGTCTTTTCTTCTTTCCCATGCACACCGATATCTTCAAGAAGAACCATAGCATATAGAAGAGTGCATTCTAGCGATAAATAATTGATGAGCATCCTTAATTTCTCGAGCTTCATCCGAAATAAGGAAGAGCAACGCTAGGATATACACAATAGTTCACAATTCGAAAGTCTGTGAAAGTCATGTTAAGATGCACTTGCGTCATAACATGTCATCAAAGACAGCACTTTGTTTAAATGTTCAAGTCCATTGTTGTCGGAAGAAATCGGAGTTGATTCTTTTTCGAAATTCAGTTTGAAATAAGAAACATTATAGACTTTTCTTTTTATTTAAATTTAGATTGAAATCAAATAGATCATTTTATGCTTTTCTCATAGCAGGAAACATATTAAACATTAAACAAAGCAATTTTTCCAGCAATTAACCATTTTGTGACAAAAAATTTCCTAATCTTGCTAAAATAAGTTCAACTGTATGGTTTTCTGTGAATACTTTTGTTTCCAATATATAATTTTTTATGTTTTTGTTATTTAAATTTGTAAAACGTGCTGTATCTCTCATACAAGTCGAATTGTCTTGAAAAGTTCAAATATCTGTTGTCAAACAGATGTCTACTCGGGTCGATCGAAACGGCTATCCGTATTTTAGCCGTCAATTTGCTTCATACGGCACCGTGAACGGACCCTATTTTCTCGTCATCTTGGACACAGTAATACGGCACCGTATAGCGAGTCGTATTTTTACAGCATACGGCCGTAATCTCATCATGATAGAGCCGTATAACTGCGTCCACCCATACGACCGTATACGGTCTGTTTAGGCGTCGTAAAGTAATCGCAAACGGTCGTATATAGACCGTATCGATTGACCTGAGTAAAACATTAGAAAAACACAATCTGTGTGGCTCTTACAAAATAGAATGGATTACTAGGAGCCAGTTACAATTCTTCTTAGATTAGCTGTTAAACGTTGTCATATATTTTCCACAAAATATGCTTGATAAATAATGGTCATATAGGAATAACATATATTGCTTAAGCTTCTTTAAAAATTGCTGGTAAATGAAGACTTTCGATTATTGATAGAGGAGAAAACTTGTTAATGATTTGATCAAGAAGTAATCTAGCGAAATAAACAGATCAATCACTAGTTAATGGTAATGAAACTGTTGGATCAGTCGTTTGTATTTGCTATGTTTAGTATTGATAGTGCATCTTAGTTTTATTAATAGAGTAAATGTTAAAATAGGACACATCGGAGCAGCAGTCGATGGTGGCGATGTTAGAGATGAATTGATTGTTGATAGATGAAGAGTAAATGTTCACTGACATTAAATGAGAGCTGTTATCATTAGAGATTGGCATGATACAGAACGAAATAGGATGATCATATAAATATATATTAATGTATGTATCTAGATGTAAAGAAGCAATTCATTGTAGACTATGATTCAAGAAAAAGGACTTGGAAGCTATCTAAAGTTTTACGAAAATACATTATTTGATAAATTTGAATGATTCTTTATATAAACGATACCATTCATGTTGTTATACATGGAAATCAATCGTTTTTTAACTCATACTATAAAAATTGACCTATAAAAGTTTAATCTTGGTCACAGATAAGAGTTTTATTTTCTACCAAGCACGCCACTATGTGGAAAAGTCACGTGAGGGGTTACTATATCATTTTTAATCTTGGACGTAATGAATACATGCTTCTTTTACTGTTACCTGGTTAACGTCCTATAATATATGACTAAAGCGTAAAACTACGTTATAACGTCATATCAGAAAAAAAGTGTAAAAGGCTTCACGATTGAACGAAAGAACATGTACGTCATATTCAAGTATATGTGAAAGAATAAAAGGAATAGCATCAGTAACATCATGTTCTTTTCTTTCTTTTCTTTTTACGGTATAATGAAATGTACCACTCCGATATATTTATAGACGTTTCACCCCATCACTAGTAATGCTTCATAGTAACTGACATACAGTCGACGCATAGCTTTATGATCATCGTCAAGAAAGATTGCATCATTAATTGCTCACTCAAACAAGACAAGAATGTAACGAATAAGGGTGGAGAGACAGATTGTTTGATAGTCAGTATTCTCAGTCAAATAATACGGTCCATATATGGGCTTTTTACGCTCTGTATTTTATAGTAAACCGGACGAATGTTTTACTACCATCTTTAGTCTGAGTAGGGCATACATACGAACCGATACGATGTAAAAATTGTGTTGTATACTGTACTGTAGTGCAATGATCGTAATTAAGACGATACACAGCCTGCTTTTCGTATCTTATTTAACTATAAACAGTCGTGTACGATACAGTTCTGGCGAAAAATGGGAACACGCGCAACTATTGTATGAGATATGAGGTTGGAAGTAAAGAAAAAGTTTTGTTTTTCAATGTCAATCTTTGAGATTAATACAACTGAATAGAATGTAAGAAAAAGAACAAAAATTGCCTAAGACAATGCAAAAGCAGTGTCGGTAGTATTTTAATTCTTTATAAAAAAAAAACTTAAAGAAACATTCTCTCTATATATAGTCCTATAATAACAACAATACCTTGTTTTTCTATGTTATTTGATGATTCTTCATCTAATATCATAATATTAAGATTTTTATAAGATCTATTCGGTTATGATATGTAACAGTTACATTAGGTTCATATTATCTGTGATATGTATTCTCTTTTTCATTCCTCTTCTCTCGTTTCTATATTCCTTTTTTCTCGTCTCTGTTAGTGCCTAACCTTTAATATGTATATATAAAGACGCATGTCTTGTTTGTTTTGTTTGCATCTATAGTTTATTAGTGTGTCCTCAAGAAACTAAAAGACATAAAATTAGTTTAGACATTGACACTGTTCACCTCTATTTTTTAGATGAATGAGAAAAATTTTCGCTTTTACATCAAAGTGTGCACTGCGCTTCGTATTCAAGCATAAGTTATTCGTAATGAAGCTCCTTCTCTTAGAGCAGTTGAAAGATGGTCTAAATTTTTTATGAAGGTCAATAAGAATTTGAAGATGAAACACAAATTATTCGTTTCTCTATTTCGCTTTTAGTCCGCCGCTACTACTTTTTGTATATCCTAACATATATAGACAGCTACGCATTAAATGAGACAAGAATAAAAAAAAGAAAAGAGAGAAGAATAAAAAGAGAGCCCAGAAGAGAATACATATCAAAGACAATATGAACTTACTATAAGTGTTACATATCACAAGAGAACAGGTCTTTTTGAAATTTTTTTTTTATGATAATAGTTGAAGAATGGTCAAATACCAGAGGAAAAAAGAGCATTATTTTTATTATTAGCTCATACAGAGCGAAAGTTTTTTTAAAATTTTTATAAAGACTTAAAATACATTCGCCCGTACTTTTGCGTTGCCCTAAATATATGTTATTGCTTCTGTACTCACAATAAGAGTAAAAGGGACGCGTATATATTTCCAACAGAATAATGCCTTGCACACAATTAAGTTTTCTTTTTCTTTCATTTTAGCCTAATATCTAAAGATGGTTGCTGAAAACTCAGTAGTCCCTATTGATAATCCCGCTCCGCCACGTTTAATTCCATCAACACGTTTTACATTAGCATTACTAGTCTTTTTTGCTTTTGTTGTTCAATATTCTCAACGTGTGAATCTACCAATAGGTATTGTATGCATGGTTAATCGTACAAAACCAATTCATCATAATACTTTGTTCCATGTAACAACTGAATTACCAAATGATATCTCGATAGATTATCTTAATTCCTCAATAACAACAAGTCCGACTAGTATTAATAAAGAAAAAGGAGGTTTTTTTAATGAAAAACAATTTCATTGGCCTGAATTACAACAACAACTTCTGCTAGGTGGATATTGGGCTGGTTATATATTCACACAAATACCAGGTTGATAAAAAGATTTTTTTTACATAATGATTAGTATGCTCAATTTCATCATTAGGTGGATGGTTAGCAACCAGTATAGGTGCAAAATGGGTTTACGCAGGTTCTCTAGGAACTAGTTCATTAGCTACTCTAGCAATAACATGGATGTATATGATGTCCAGTACACATTTTTTTTTGATACTTATGCTTCGATTTATAATTGGTCTTGCACATGGTGTACTTTTTCCAGCAACAATTTCTCTTTGGTCGGTATGGGCTGTTCCACAAGAACGAAGTACACTTGCCTCAATTGGATTTTGTGGAACACATCTTGGAACATCTTTAACAGTGCTTGTTGGTGGAGTATTTTGTCGTTATTTATTTGCAGGATGGATGTATCTATTTTTTATCACAAGTATTCTTGGTTTTATCTGGTTGGCATTATGGACTACGTTAACAGCAAATGCACCACATCATCATAAAAAAATTAGTGATCATGAACGAGATTATATAAGTAGTTTAACCGGTAGTACTGGTCATAAACGTCCAATGTCATTAGCATCAATACCATGGAAAAACATAATCAAGTCAAAACCATTAGTTGCTTTAATCTTAACACAGAATGCGAATTTGTTCGGTTTATTTTTCTTTTTAACAAATCTTGCTAAAGTTTTAAATGAACTTTTAAATATTACACCAGCAAATACTGGTTATATATTATCTTTTGGATATTTTTTAACATTATTAAGTAGTCTATTATCAGGTAATAGAAATAAAAATGAGATTTTTTTGTAAAAAAAAAAATTGGTTTTTAGGTATTGCAGTTGATCATGTCGTTCGAAAAAATGTTGTAACATTAACAACTGCAAGAAAAATATCGAATTCTTTAACATCATTTATACCTGTCTTCTGCATGGTTTTACTTTATTTTTCTGATAATTCAAGTCATAGAGTAGGCGTTTTTGCTGTTCTGTTATTTCTTGCTGCTTCTGGTAAAATTTCACATATATTTTTTATTTATTTCAATACCTATTTTTTTCATTAGGTCTCGGTTATGGTAGTGGTTATGTAGTCAATTTTGCGGATATTGTTCCAGCTTATTCCGGTGTTATATTTGGCCTTGCTAATACATTTGCATCATTAGCTGGTGTAATTGGAAACTTAGTTGCAGGAATAATTGTTAAGAAACCAGTTTTAGAACAATGGAGAAAATTATATATTATCTTTGGTATTGTTTATTTCTTTGGTGGTCTTGTTTATGTTTTATATGGTTCGGCTGTACCAAGAAAATGGGCGAAATTTCAAACTGTGAACAATGATGCTAAACTAGAGAAAAAAACAAACGACGAAATAGCAATGCCAATGGACGAAAAAGTTTAACCAAACCAAAAGGATATTTAAAAATCGTTTTCTTTTTTCTTTCCTTCTCTTAGCACAAATTTTCCTGTTTCGCATAATAGAATAGGCCATTTTTCATATTATTATGTGACCAATTTTTAAAATGATCTCACTCTTTTTCTTTGTGCTAGGAAATTCTTCTTCAAACTAAACATAACTTGATGCAAATTCACTTTTGGCATTTTTTTCATTATCATTTTATTTGAACAAGAAAATCAATGAAGAAAAACAAGCATTGAAATATTTATAAATGATTTTATACTTTCTGTAAAATTTTGATACTAAAAATCGTGAACTTTATTGCTGTTTTTATTATGATGATGAACTACACTTGTATTCATAATTGATTATTCGTCGTTTTCTTATGCTAAGTAAATATCTTGTGATATGAGATATATGACGAAGAATATAGTTAGTGAGAAATATGGCCAAAATAGTTTATGAATTTTCATTCAGATTTAATATTTAATTTAGATTATCCAAGATAAATTTTTATTGAGGAATCGGGGACGTAATGGAATCGAGGAGCGCAACACTTTCAGAATCAGTAGAAGAACTAATCTTGTTTCAGGACAAGTTCATGGTGAGTATACTTATAAAAAGAAACTATCCACGTGTTATTATAAAGGCTTATTAATGATGAGTATAATCTACAAATCAAAACTATTTTTGGTATCAACTCAAATATAAACAGAACACACAAATAGCAATTGCATCATTAATAAAACAAAATTTCAATCACAATATTCTCTTGATTTCAAAGTATGTCTTTAGTCAAGAGATACTTTTATGACAATGGAATGTTTATGTTTTTAACTATGCAACACTATTCAATTGTTTATAATGCATTTGGCCCATAAATTGAACAACAAAAGAACTCTTCATAATTTTGTATCACCATCAAATTTGTTCAAAAGCACCCATTTGAATGTTTTTACTATTCCTTCCAATAACAATCAATTCCACAAGAACAAGAAAATACTATATCCTAAAAAAGATTCATCTATCAGCATGTGTTTGTACTTTTGCAGTGTCTACATATCATTAATAATATTTCATAATCTTTTGTTTTATTAAGTTTAACCGAATTTTCACTTCAAAATAAAATAACAAACTAAAATTTTACTTTAGCTTTTGTTGTAAATTTTCGTGTCAATAAGCTCATCATCAATAGTTGATATTGACTTAATAGTTTCTAATGATGTTCTTTTTCTCCATGACACATGCATAACTTCAAATTCTTGTATATGTCGTCTTTTATTATAGAAACAAAAACATAATTTTCTAAACAACCATATTTGATAAAATTCTTTAACATAAAAATTATTGGGCATAACATAAATTATGTATGTTAATATTTGCGGAGTATAAAGAAGAAAAATAAATACAATGTGTATACGAATTTTATAATTTGATGATAATGTTAAACAAAAATTCAATAAATTTAGATATAAACTATTTAAAAACATACAAAAAATAATAAATAATGATGGAATAAAATAAGTTTGATGAATAATTATTTTTCGAAGACAATTGTCTTTTATGAATAATACAATAACACATATAATACATATTACATGAATTAAACATGGAATAATTATATAAATATAATATAAAATTATTGACCAATATTTATATGAATATTTTTTATATGTACAATAGAAATTACCAGATTGATCAATTAATAAACTTCGTCCAAATATTTTATCAAGATTTGATAATGAAACAATAACAAAAAAAAATAATGAAATAATTAAAGATCGTTTACGTCGACGAAATTTATCAACATTAAAACATGTATAAAGTACACTTTCCGTTGCAATTGCAGTACTCATCACAATACTTGTATAAACCATAATAAGAGATAAATATGGATAACCATAACAAGCCCATATACGAAATAAATACTTATCATAATAAATAGCAGTTATTATATTTGTTAAAATTAACATCATTAATATTAAACTACATATTGAATAGTTAATTAAATAAATACCACAAACTGTATGTCGAATACGTTCTCGCATAAATGTCATTATAGAAAATATATTATTTATTATACCAATAGAAGCTAATAAAATTAAAATAAAACCATAAACATAACGTAATAGTGGAAGATCATAAACAATTGCTCCAATCATGGGAAGAGTTAATGCATTATAATGGATATCTTTATTGTTATTAAGATAATATTCTTTAGGACAAGTATAAAAACCAAATAAACATCGATTTTCTTTCAGATAAGAACTACCGTTTGAACACAACATTGTTTTGAAAAACAAAATAATGAAAAATGAGTAGAAATTTGCTATACATTCAAATTATACATATTCAAATTAGTAAAAATGCAATTTGCATACAGGCAGCTTACAAGAAACATGTGTCAAAACGATGATTTCTACTTGATTTAATGAAAACCTAATCAGTTGTATAATATATTACTTATTAGAATAGTTTCTGATAAAACTATTCATTTAAGAATGTTGTGGATGGTTTCACCAATAAGTTATTGTGCAATCTTTCGTAGACTGTTTTTTTTTGAATATCCTACATTAATGTGACATTTTATTCATAGTGTGAGTCTTTTATTCTAACTAGATGTTTGACGAAAAAAAAAATGACAATCCAGGTACTCTCTGATTTAGTACGAGTCGAGCCCATCTTGTTTCGATCCCAATCGATGATTTCTTACCTGCAGTAATTTTGATTGATTCTTATTTCGGTTTCCTTCCAATTCGCTCGTAATTCATGAACTTGAAAGCAGATGAATTTTTGATGGAATAATGTTAAGAGCTATTAATGAGACAGTCATTAATGTTGTTTATACTTTCAATATTATTAACAGAAGTTTATTTAGGCTTGACCATCTAATTATTATAGGTTAAAAAAATATGTTTATGTCAACAAAGTCGATTCAACACGTGTGATATATATTTAATTATTCATTGTTTATATGATCTTATATTTAAATAATATTTCTAGAATATGATAGTCTATCATGTTATTTATGGTTAAATCAAATAATTGCCTATATATATCTGTGATGATAGCTTTCACAGGTATATGGTTAAGAGTTGATTTTATTATGGAAAAAGTGTCGATTGAATGTTTTAATATCAATATAGATGTTTCATGCATTCATGTACTATTTATTTCATTAGGTTCTTTCTATTATTTATATCTATGTTTAAATTATTTTATATTTTCATCCTTTACTCACTTAAAGAATTATTAATACGAGAAATTTCTATATTTGAGTTAATTCCAAATTTCCAATGAGTTTATATGAAAAAGAATTCTGCTGATTTTTAAACTGATATCCTATATATAATTCGTCCAATTTGTTCATTTTTTAAACTAAGAGCAAAAATTCGTCAAAAAATTTTACTTCATTGCGCAAAGAAATATATTTGTTATTTATGATTGAAACAAACGTTGAATCATACAACTAGAGCTTTTTATTTCACCTTTATATATCATTCCATATTATTTTTTTCCAAATCCAAAATATGTATACCATTGATGGCATTCGAAAATATTGCCTTTTAAATTCTGATTCTTATCCTAACAGTTATAATCATCATGTTCTTGTATGATCATTAGGCAGAGAAGAGATGTCTGTTCTAGTACAATAGTGGTACATTTATTCAACAAACATGACGTGCATGATTAGAATCTCATGACAGAGATTCGTTTTTTTTGTGCTGTTGATATCCTATCATATTGTTTAGTTCTGATAGTAAATTATAAAATCAGATTATTAAATCGTTCTTTCATCTATTGATCAAAACTCTTTTCCAATTTCAGAGTTGAAGCGCTAGAGTGTGATAATATCTAAATCTTCTTTTATTTGATTACAAAAGTTTGAAGCAGTTCCATATTTCAATTTAGATAAGCTTCGAATTTATATTGTATTTGTATTTTTACTTCATATTTCATGTACTTATGTCTCTTTATATAATTTATATTTATCTAAGTGATTGGAATTCTGAGTAGTACCATCTAACATTTATTTATTAAATATAATTTTGTTGGATTTAGTAAAAACAACAATTAATAGAAAGACATCGATGTGCATCTATTGTGTTTACTTTACATCAATATATGGAAAATAATATTGATCAATATGAAACTAAATATGATCATCAAACTTGAGCTTACTACAACCAGAAAAAATATGACACTTTTTTTAAATTCAATTCATCGATAATTAATTGTTCTTGTATTTCTTTAGTTTTTATTTGAGTTGTATCAGTCAATCAATTAAAAGATGATACTAATGCATGCTTAATTACTATCAATGCGGTGCTAAAGTATTTTTCAGTTTTTATGTTGTTCTAACAATGATTTAAAAGGATACAAAATCCCATTATAAAGAGAATTTAGTTTTTTTGATTATGCTTATTTCTGTACCGAGTGAAAACGCTTACAAAGAAGTAGCTATTAATGTTATAAGCATGAAATGAGACATGACTATTTACAATTTGGCTTTACAGTTTAGAGTTTATTTAAGCGAGACAAATGTCTAGATTGCATGTTTAGCAGCGAACTGGGCTCTAATTAAAAAGAAAAAAAAAAGAAAGTCTAAGATAAGAACAAAACAGAAGAAGACACTAAAAGACAAACTGCTAGTATTGTTGATGATATTGATCTTATATTTTTGGTGCATGCATACGACAATAAACTCTGATAAAAAGCATCGATCCGCGCTTTCAACAGTTCACATGCACTGAAGTTATGATTCACACATCTTCTTCCCCTAGGAAAAACACATTTAGTGATGATATGCATATAAAAAGTTTTTGTATGTTATTTTACCATTTGACGAGCTATTACACTGTTTTTTCTAGTGCTGAAGACAGTTGCGTACGTCTTCTTTATTATCACTACAATCCATGAAAGATAGTCAAAAGGTTAGTAATTAACATGCCCTGAAATAGTGAAATCATGTCATACCGCTCCATGACTTCATTCTATGTTGT